TCCTTCACCCTCAACTTCACCATCACCAACCTGCGCTACGAGGACGACATGCAGCCCCCAGGGTCCTTGACCTTCAACACCACTCAGAAGGTCCTGCAGCACCTGGTGAGCACAGTGCCTGTCCCACTCTTATCCTGCCCATTGGAGCCAGCCTGCCTGTGTCCCACCCTCTGATGCACCTGTATCCTCCAGGATCCCCACACCCACCAAAGGTGCCATTGCCCACCTCTCAGCTGACCCACTCCCTTTCTCTCTCCTCCACAGTTCGGACCCATGTTCAAGAACACCAGTGTGGGTCCCCTGTACTCTGGCTGCAGACTGACTTTGCTCAGGTGAGACTTAGAGTCACTGGTGCTCCCAGGCCCAAGTAGTGTGGGTGCTTCCTTCCTGCCCCCTTTCCTTCCTGTCCTCCACAGAGATGGTCTCAGGAGGCATCAGCTCCAGCACCAAGGCCAACCTTAACCCTTCCACTTCCCCTCCTGACCTGTCTCAAATTCTGTCCATCAGCATCACTGACCCTCGTCCCCTCCCTCCCTTCTCACTTTTCCAAGAATGGCATTTTTTTAGATGATGGATTCTCTTGCCAGGATGTATATACTTTCTACGTTTGCTTTAATCCCCAAATCCAGTTTTCCACTTCTCACCTGGGACACACCTGTCCCCATGGCATGAGGTTGCATTTTTATTCTCCACCTTCAGGAACATTTTCCCTTCAGCCTACTCCTCTCCCAGGGGGAGGCCGTCCAGAAGTCAGTGCACAGGATGACCAGGCTGGCTTCCCACCCTTCCAGGGCCTCCTCATTTTCTCTGTCACTTTTCTGCCCTACTCAGAGGTATCTCTGGACCTTCCTCTGTAAATGCACTCATCCCCCCTCTCTCCCCAGGTCTGAGAAGGATGGGGCAGCCACCAGGGTGGATGCTGTCTGCACCTACCATCCTGACCCCGTGGGCCCCAAGCTGGACAGAGAGAAGCTGTACTGGGAGCTGAGCCCACTGACCCACGGCATCACCCA